GGAGATTAGAATGATAATATTTATGCTAGCTTTTAGAAAAGTGATTATTTTTTTTGTGCTTACTAGGCAAAAATCACAAATTTGAATCTTAAGGGCTCAGACTGGCAATGGTATGGCTAGAACTTCCTTAGAGATGTTGCTTAACATCAGAGTTAGAGCTGAGTGGTAATTTCTCACTTCCTCTTCCAGCATGAAAATATGGATGGGACTTGGTGTTATTTTAGGTTTTATCATATATATACACGTATACGTATTTATAGTCATGTGTGTAGACTAAAAATGAAAACTCAGAGTTGAAGGAAGGAATTTTTCTGCACATTGTATCACACCCAAACCAGTCTAACATCTTCAGACGCCAACATTATTTAAAGCCCATTCCTTCACAGTTCTCGTATCCCTTGTAGAAGTGAGATAAACCACGTATGAGCAAGTTTATAGCAATTCACTCAATCCATATGAAGAAGATTTAACTGTAGCAGCTTCTAACTTAGTATAGCCTCACAAAAGTCACGTGTGGGCCAGTTTTAAACATTCAGGATGCTTCTATCTCTTCTCTTCTCTTCTCTTCTCTTCTCTTCTCTTCTCTTCTCTTCTCTTCTCTTCTCTTCTCTTCTCTTCTCTTCTCTTCTCTTCTCTTCTCTTCTCTTCTCTTCTCTTCTCTTCTCTTCTCTTCTCTTCTCTTCTCTTCTCTTCTCTTCTCTTCTCTTCTCTTCTCTTCTCTTCTCTTCTCTTCTCTTCTCTTCTCTTCTCTTCTCTTCTCTTCTCTTCTCTTCTCTTCTCTTCTCTTCTCTTCTCTTCTCTTCTCTTCTCTTCTCTTTCTCTTCTCTTCTCTTCTCTTCTCTTCTCTTCTCTTCTCTTCTCTTCTCTTCTCTTCTCTTCTCTTCTCTTCTCTTCTCTTCTCTTCTCTTCTCTTCTCTTCTCTTCTCTTCTCTTCTCTTCTCTTCTCTTCTCTTCTCTTCTCTTCTCTTCTCTTCTCTTCTCTTCTCTTCTCTTCTCTTCTCTTCTCTTCTCTTCTCTTCTCTTCTCTTCTCTTCTCTTCTCTTCTCTTCTTCTCTTCTCTTCTCTTCTCTTCTCTTCTCTTCTCTTCTCTTCTCTTCTCTTCTCTTCTCTTCTCTTCTCGTCTTCTCTTCTCTCTCTTCTTTCTCTTCTCCTCTCTTTCTCTCTTTCTCTTCTCTCTACATTGCTTCTCTTTTAATGCATATCCTGTATCCATTACATTGTATCCAAGAAGGGGGATTTGAGCTTCTCTCTGACCCAAGGATAGAAAACCCCTATTCTCTTGCTTTTGAGCACAAATATTTCCCCCAACTTGTAAAGGTCATGCAGCATCCTTGGGCTCCATACAAGGAGGCAATTAATGGGGTGTTCATCCCCAGCCCGCTGGCCAGAAGGGATGAGCTCTGGTGGTGCCTCCAGTTTGTTCTTGAGGCCAGGCAGCCTCAGCACCTGGAGACCAGATGTGCACAGCTCTTGGTGGACCACTGCTGAAGCATCTGGGGCACAGGCTGCGTGTCATTGCCTTGAGTTTGAGGAGGGGCAGGAGGGAATGCTGCTGCAGCCTGGGCGAACCTGCCACTATATTTACAAGGACAGGCAGCTCCTTGATCTGTCTGTATCGCCTTCTCCCAGGGCAAAGAGAGGCTGGGAAGGTAACCTTCCTAATCAAGATCTCCTTTCTTTGCTCCTGTGTACTGAGGTCAGCATGTAACACCACCTAAAAGCAGACAGATTCGGGTGCTCAAGGTAATTTTATCAGTTCCTGCACTCTTTTTCCAGCGTAATATGGAAATGATGATACTTATAGATCCATAAAGGGAAGTGGAAGCTTATTACATGCTGCTTCTCACCCTTAGTGCCTTATGATCCTCAAGCCTGACCACAAATCTGTAGGATCTTTCCCTGGAAAGTGATCCGGGGGCTGCAAGGGGGTGAACTGCGGTGGGTAACAGTCAGTGAAACTCAGAGCTGTGATTAATTTTGCCCAGGTGAACCATGTTCACTCCCCAGCTCCAGGATGAAAACCGTGACCCTCTCCCATCGTAGCCACCTTCACAGTGAACCTGCTCTCATTTTCCTCTAGCTCCATTCCTCTAGCTGCAAAATGGTGATGAGGATTTCTTAGGTTATTGGGAAAGGGGCTGTTTCTACTGACACCTATGTCACCTTCCAGAAGGAGCCTGTGTGCCCGTGTGCCCCTGAATTTAAGCAGCCTGCCAGTGTGCAACCCGTGAAACATCCACAAGACATCTCAGATTTGGTAAAAACATTAATAACTACTTAAGTTAAACATTAAGGAATCATTTTATTTTTTTACGAGTACAAAGAAAATCCAAACCATCTGGAAAGGAAAGTACTTCTCGATGCACAATGGCTCTATGATAAATTCCACGAGCTACCCGAAATTTAACCCAACTTTTCGCTGCGGGCTGAAGCAACTGGCTTAGGTGACTGATGTGACAGCAGTGACCCCGAAACCAGGCGACCGCGTGCAAGCCGAGCGAAGCGATCTGCACGCAGCAGACGTTGTGCTGCCTCGTAAGAAACAGCCGAAACCAGAAGCCTCTCCATTTTGCAGACACACAGTCGATTGGACAGCCATAATACAGAGGCTATTAATATATAGATTACTGTATCATCGGAAGAACTGTCTGCTGCAGAGCAGAGCAGCCAGCCCAGGGAAAGACATCTTGTCTGCAGCTGCCAGCGAGGTTATCCTGCAGCCTTGGGAAGAGTTGCCCAGATAAAAATTGATTGCTGGATACGTTCCACTCCTTTGGCGCTCAGACGTGACTGAGCCTTTGTACCAAAGCCCAGGAGGCTGGAAACCTTCCCGAGAAGATGGGAACCCTGTAAATAATTTCCTGCGTTAAAATAGCTACAAGAGTGATCCGTGCCTTACGGCTGCAAGTTCAACAGGTAAGGTATATTCGGGTCACCTGTAGCTGCGTGTTTCTGAGTTAGGGCAAGGGCTAAAGGAGAGATTCATTCTTCATTTAGAAGCTTGAGAAAATCCTCGAAGGACCTGTTAATAGTTCTATGTGCATAAATATTTGGGTTTTCTTCTTACTTGTCACTGTGCATTTGAGCAATCTCCTGGACTGGAGGTGGGGGGGGAAGAACTGGAGAGACCTTTACGCCTGTGAACACTAGTTTTGCACGTTTGATTTCTCTGGGAAGCACCTGGCAGCAGTAGATGCCACAGAAGCCCTTTGCAGGGCAGAAATTATCTACATGATAGCAAATACAGTTTTGGTCTGCACTTTACAGATGTCCACTTAGCTGAAGAAATCCAAAATACCCATTTTTGGACTGGGAAAGGCTGTCCCCGGGAATTATTTCTCTCCCCACCCGTGCTTCAGCTGGTATTTCCAGTGACAGTACTTAGACGTACACGCTGCATTTTTTTATTGTGAGGATGCTGCAAGCTTCCCTGAAAACCAGCCACTTCTGCAAATATTCTAGCAAGCAGAATATTACGGCGACAGTGCATTGAGGCAATAAGGACTGTGTCCCGTGGCTGTGTCCTCTTTTTTGCTGCTGCATTACAGCTTGCTATTAAAATTTCTAGGGAAAATGACAGCAGTTTTTTTCCAGCCTCCCATTTTGCCCATAGAGAAAATGTCCCAGAGCAGCACCTATGTAACCTTTGGTGTTTGGGCTTTTCCCTCCGCTCCTGGGGCTGTTGGCAGGGGCTCAGCCGGAGCAGTTGTTCACGAAGACGAAGTGATGGGGATCTGAGCTGGAGCGGGAGAGGATTTTCAGCCTGGAGCCCTCTCCTGGAGGAAAATGCAGCTTTGCTGCCTGGAGAGTGAGAGCAGGAGAGGCAGGATGGGCACGTCCTCCTGCATCCAGGATCCGCGAGTAGCGCTGGGGCTTTGGAACTCCCTGGCCAGGCTGCGAGGGTCGGGCAGGGGGAGGCAGAGGCGTTAGGAGAGGTGACCCCCCAGTCCCGTTCTCCCAGAACAGAGCGGGTAATTTACGCTGAGGTTTTGGGAGTCAGCCTGCTGCAACCTGTGTTTCTGCCCCTCTCCCTTCTCCTGCCCAGCTGGGAAAGAGCTTCTGGTCCCAGCAGCCTTCTCCTCCCCGGAGAGCCCCTGGCATCCGTGTTAAAAGCAGTCTTTGGGGTGATGCATGTTGGCACCTTCCACCTCTATCAGAGGAGGGAGCTGAACCAGTGGCTCCCAGTGCTGCCTGAGCGTCTCCCCTCTCTGGTGCCTTATATAAGGGGAGATTGCTTCAGATTTTATGTTTTTAAAAGCAAGCAGCAGCTATGATGGCTTTTCTTTTTTTTTTTTTTTTTTTTTTTTTTTTTTTTTGGCATGCTTGGTACCAGAGGCATGTGATAAGGGGGTTCAGGGTATGCTACCAGGCTGGATGCTTCCCTGGGCTGGGGAAGAGAGGCAGAGCACAGCACTCTGGAGCCAGCAGTGCGCTGGGATCAGCAGGGGAGCAGGAGAGACAGAGGTGCCCAGGGGACTTTTTAGGAGGAAACAGCAGTTTCTGCCATTAGGCACCTCCAGGCAGAGGCAGCAGCTGAGCTGAGGTTTGGGGATCAAGGCTGGACAAACCTCACCTTGGTCGTGCTCTGTGTGCCTTTTTTTTTTTTGTTTGTTTTTTGTTTTTTCAGTCACCCTGCAAGAATAAACTCCACTTCACAGGGGCTTTGTGGGGCTGGAGTAACCCTTGCAAAGCCCGACGAAGCCCTCGGATCACTTTACAGGAGGCAGGAGCAGCGTGGAGCCAAAGGCCACCACTGCAGCCCAGCACCCCGCACCAGGGCGGGGGGGCTGCCCCCCATCACCCCCTCCAAGCAACACTTTTATTTTTGTTCCCCGCCGGCGTGACATCTGCCAGAGGTGGCTTTTTCCTGGCTGGCGGTGGCTGCCGGAGCGTGAGCGGCATGGATCTGGCTTTTCCCACCGCCCTGGATGCGGGGCTGACCACTCCCCCTCCCTTTGAATAGGCGGCCCTGCTGCAAACACTATGGTATTTCCATCCTCCCCAGCTCCAGCGCAGAGGATAGCACCAGGTAGTTGGAAAGAGATCGGAGACAAGTGTGGGAAGCCGTGGAGGACATAAGCTTTTCCCCTGGTCTTTCAGCTAAGTAGTAAGTGGCGGTGGGGAGAGAGTCTCTTTAAACTCTTTTGTGGGTTGTAGGTACCTGTGTTCATTTTCAGGACATCTAAGGTTTGCTTTGCTGGTAATTTACTCTCTCCATTTCCAGTTTTACCCAGTAACTGATTCATGTGTTTGCTAGCAGTACCGCAGGATCTTATATAAATGCCTGAGCTGATGCTTCCCTTTAAAAACCCCTTTTTTATATATAGAGTATATAAATTTTATATGTATGTTTAGGAAAATATTACTATTTTCCTCGTCTCGGTAGCAGGCTGCACCTTGGCATTATTGCAGTGGATTAAATTTGCAGTTCCTTTTATATTTTGAGTTGCATTTCGGTTTGGATGGGGGTTGGTTTGTTTTTGTTGTGAGACAGGGGGAGAAGCAAAGTGCCCGGGGTCAGATGCTCCCTTGGCTCCCTCCAGCCCTGTGCACGGACAGACAGACTAGGAGCAGACCCCCTCAGACTGGGGCTGATTTCTGTCTGTGGAGGGGTGCTTGTAAAGGGTTTGCTGCCGCACTTCCACGTGTTTTCAATAGAAATGCCATCCCCCCCAAAAAAGGGCAGAAAGTGCCACAGGTGCCAGCGTTTGCTTTTGGGAGGAATTGGAGCTCCGAGTGTGACGGCCACAGGGACGTGCTGCCGTGTCGCTGCTATTCTTTGGGAAGGGCACAATCCTGCACCCCTCGCCCAGCCGAAAAAGAGCCAGTGGGAATTGTGAGTCCCCAAAGAGCACAGCCAAGGCCTTCCCCCTTCCCATTAGTCTCTAAATCATTGCTTTGCATGTGGCCACTCATTTGGTATTACAGTTACCATTAACTTCCCATCCTGTGCTGTCAACTGACACCTTTTGGGGGCTGTGGGCTGGGTCCAGAGTGGTTTCCTGCTTACAGGCTATCCGTGCTGGCTCTAATTCAGCTCGTTTTTTAAGCTTTCCCCTGCCTATCATGGAAACAGTTTGCTGGCAAGCCAGATTTTTTGGGCTACCCAGGCATTTTCTCCTTGGGCAGCAGGGAATGGCACCACTCACCCAGTGCATTTAGTGCACCCAGCACTGGGATGTGTGTGTGTGTGTCCCTTGTCCTCAGCTTCACTGCTGCCACATGCTACCCCAAATCAGAAAACCCCTCCAGTGCACTTTTCTTCTTTATACGAGGCACAGAGAAACAAAAGGTAGCCTAACTTTCTAAAGTGCTCTGGATACCTGATGAAGGGAGGCGCTTAGTGGGATTTTCAAAGCACCATCAGATCTGGGCAGGCTGGTCCTCAGCATCCTGCTGCGGGTCGTACAGGGAATCTGGAGCAAAATGTAGACTTACAGCTGGGCCGCGAATTCCTGGCCAAGATCCCTTTGCCACAGGGCAGATGGGGCTCTCTGAGACTGGGAATGTATGCCAGATCCCTCCCTGGCACAGGGGATCCCTCACTGAGCAGTGGGAAGCTCATCCAGTTCTTTCCCCCTTTGCTTTGCCCCAGCTGAGGATCTGGCCCATGACGTTGTCTATTATTTCATGAAGGGAAATTCGTGAGTGAAATAACAGATGACCTAATTAACACTCCCCCCCACACCCATTCACATCTTCCTGCAATTGCAAGTAGCTGCTACGATCCAAGAGAGAGCAGCGTGACTTAATGGCAACAGCCTCCCTGGTTTAGTATCCCACCTCAACCCCTCTCCCTGCCACGACCTGTGCTGTCAGCTCGCTGTAGATTTGGCGGTGCTCGTGATGGTGGCATTAGTTTAGCTTAATTATAAAATAGCAGCTGAGCAGTAGGCGAATGAGCAGGGTAAAGGAGAAGTGTAAAGCAGAAAGCAGTTTACTACCAAGCAGAGAGCAAGGGCTCGTTGGTATATAAGACTGGTCCAGACCTTAACTGTCTTGGCACTATCTCACGAGCTCTGTCATCCGTCCCAGCTAGAGTTTGTCAAGCCAAATGGGAAGGCTCTTAAGGTACCATCATACCTCCTTCAGATCTGACAGCCACTGAGAAAAGAAAGGGCACGGCGTTAAAGCAGGAAGCGATGTGCTGACAGGCAGCCCCCCTGCCCCTGTGAGCTGCCCCGTTCCCAGAAACAGCGCGGACAACCTTCTTACGGCAACGCTAATCCGACCGCAGTCACCACCGTGTCGTTAAGATAGTGGCTCAGGGGCTCCGATCCTCGGCCTCTCGCCCTCACTTTCCCTGGACGACCTTAGCCAAGCCGTTTAATCTCTTGGAGTATTTACAGAGGGTGCAGAAGGGCAATTGCTATATTGGCCTGTTTACCACAGCATCCTTATTTACTGCCCTGCCCAGTTTCCCTTCGGTAAATCAGGTATTATCTTTGAGAGCACCGCAGAGTTTTTGGGATCGTAACAAAGGGGGGATCCCCTGATATGAAATGGGGACAGGAGGTGGCCGATCTGTTAAAAAGCATGGTTTGCAGATAGGCAGGGAGAGAAGCATACTCATTTCTACTGCTTGTATCCCTGCATTAGAGATGCTTCTCTTATTTGAAGCTGGTGCCAGGGTTTGATGAATTGAATGAGGTTTTTAACATGCCAACAGATCAACAAATACTCCTTCCCCTGAGAACTGAATTGGCAGGCGGCCTGGAAAGTGCCAGGATTTCAAGGGTTAAAGCCTTGCTGAAGAATGTCATTTCCACGAGCTATTTTCCCCACCCCCTCAAAGATGATAAATTATTACTTGATGCAAAAATAAAATGGCTATCACTAAGCAGCTTTGGGTCAGCGAGCTGCCAGCGCAGCAGCCCATGGAGGATGGTCAAGTTGAAGACGCTGCTTCTCATTTTTAAAGTCTTCATTCACATTCCTGAAGTCAGAAATATTTTGATGGGAGTTGCTGATGCTGCCCCATCCTCCCGGCTTCCCATTTAGCCCCATGGAAAGGGATTCGTGCTGATTTATTGGGATGGAGAAAAGCACCCAAATGATGTTTTGTGGATGTCCCAGTTGTGCCACCCTGCAGCGACACCTTTACTGGGTTGCCAGCCTGGGGCTGAGGGATATGGGATGGGCAGAAGCCGAGTGTGGTCCTACGGCTCAGAAATTTGGGGAGCAATCTGAGCTGCAGGATTTTACAAGAGACGGGGGAGACCCGTGCACAGAGCACCAAAGTGGGAGACAGAGATGGGGGCTGCTGGTCTTGACTCTGCCATGGGAAAAGTCACTGTGGCCTCACTCCACTCCCCTTTCCCCATCCTTAAAACAATATAATACTAAAACACTATATGGGAATATTGTGAAGGGTCTTCATATACCCAATAGAGAAAGTTTGCTTTGGTTTTATGTACATTTTTAACTCCTTCCTAGCTTCTGCATGGGCATGTGTGTTAATCATGAGGACAAACAGCTTCTCCCTTTTTAAACTAAGCTTGGTCATTCATTAAAAAAAAAAAAATCTCTTGTAAACGAGAAGGGATGGATGTTGAAATGAAATTAAAATTTTAATTTAGTTTAGAAATGACCCAAGAGTCTAATAGCTTTGGCTGATACTTGATCAAGTCCCAAAATAAATGCTGTTTCTTCCACACATGTTTTCACAATAAGACAGGAATAATAAGAGCAAACAATAAGACTGAAGTCAAGCTGTTAAGTCATTAAGGATTTTACCAAATGGCTCTGATTCCCCTCTATTTATTAACAGCTCTCAGCAAGCTGTGGATCTTGATTATCTTGGTGTAAATCTGCAGTGATTTCCTTAATATTGGCCAAGTTACCTGCCATGAAGAGCGCTATCATTGAATTTATTTCAGCTGCAAGCTCCTGAGCGGTCATTAAAGCTATCTAATGGCATCCAAGGGGAGGAAAGGAACTATTTAGGCTCTTATTAGAGGAAGCTAAAGAGAAGAAAAACATCGCTCAAACATCAGGGAAACTTGCTGACAGTGAGAGATGTATTGGGCTGTGAAGTAGTTTCCTATGGGAAGTGGAGGAAGTTCTGTTAAAATTAGCCTGGACAAAGCGCTCCAGAGCTCCCTTTCTGCTGTCATCTTGCCTCCCGTTGCTGGCCTTGCATACCTGTTTTTTTCCAGAGCCCAATTATTTTGTGCACAGAATCTGCTCACCTGCCTTTTTCAAGCGTGGCTTGTCTTCCAGGTCCTTTTTGCAGCCTCAAGCCCGCGTGTCTCTGTTGTTTAACCGCTGTCACCCATGAAATCTGCATCAGGTTGGGGGATTGACTTTAACTTGTATTTTAGCTGGCCTTGCCTTGAACACCCAGGGGTGTGGGTGCAAATGGTTGCTGAGGTTGCACTGTATTTCTCACCCCCCCATTTGTGCTTTTTAGCAGCACAGCTTGCAGGGGAAGAGAAACTGAAAAGCAAACTGTTCTTGCTATAAAGCTGTTGGAGCTGCAGTCTAGAGATGGTAATTCCCCTTTTCCAGTCCAGGGCTCGGGAGGAGGTTGCTGGTGCTGCTTTACAGCTCTGGCAATCTTATTGATATTCTTTATTGCATGAAGCAATAAATCCTGGGTGTCAGGATGGGTTTAGTGCTTCTCCTGTGACTGAAGCACATGCTGCTTCGAGCATCAACGTGTGGTAACTTTGCTGGAAGGTTCATCTGGCAACGGCATCCTGTGAAAGATGCAAATGACATTCAGCGAGGCATGAAAGCAGTTCTCGAGAACTGGTGTGCCTTTGGTGTCTTGATCAAAAGAAAAAAAAAAAGAACAAAACAAAACAAAACCCCAAAACATCAACAAAAAAAACCCCAACTGCCTATTGCACAAGCTGCAAAGCAGGAAAGAGAGCTGCTCATGGGGACTGCTCTTTTAACTGATATTTTAATGCTGTAACTCCTTACTCTCAGACATGTGTGTGTCATTGAAATAGGTGAATCCGGCTAGAGATTTCTCTGTCTCCATTTTGCAGTGTCTGTCTTGCTTTGGTACAATTTGGCAGCATTAGTCTTTACTCCAGAGCAAGAGGGAGATCAGTCCACGTTTACGTGAGATGGTTTACACTTGTTTAAGGTTAGGATCAGGGGACAGGCGTGTGATGGACTGGGACTGAGCACCTTGCCCTTCATTATCCGAGTTGCAGAAATGGGCTCCGTGCACCTTCCTTGTTTTACCCATCTGCGAGCTGACCCAGCTGCAATGAGATTTAAGCAAATGTGTTTTAACGCCTAGTTCGAGCAGGCTGGCAGGGTGTGCACAGATGCTGAGATTAGTTAAGGCTTCTCAGCCACAGTAACTTGCAGCATGTGTGTTTTTTGGGTTGCTCTAAGCACAAAGAGAAATAAGCTCATTGTTCTTTCTCCATGTAGGTAGTTCTCAGTTTTGTGACTTAAAAAGAGAAGTTTGAAAAAAAAAAAAAAAAGAATAATACTGGTGTTAGAGCAAAAGTTAGTAATAACAAGCAGGAAATGATGATAATAATTTAGTACGCATACACACGCAGGTGTTTCACATTTGGCCATTAGTCACAGAGCGCGGTGGGAGGCGCTGCCTGTAGTCCCGGTTTGCTGAAGCGGTGAGCGAGGCTCAGCTGCAGCAGGCTCTGCCCTTTGCCTGGATGTTTGCTAACGGCTGGCTGGCCCCTGGCAGCCGTGGAGCCCCCCCCGGCCCCGTGAGCAGGGCAGGAGGGGAGGCTGGGAGTGGGTCCCGGTGCCTCCGCGAGTTATTTGGGGGCGCAGCAGCGGCTGAAGGTACCGTGGTTGCGCTGGCTCTGTCTAGAAGATGTCTCGGGCAAGTGTTTCCATCTGCAGCGGTTACAGTCGGTAGCACAGGAGGGCTGCAGAAATCAAAAGGGAGGTGTTTGAGAGGAGCCAGAGCTGCTGTGTCCTCAGAGAGGTTAAAGCAGCGGCAGCTCTTCCGTCTCGCAGGCTGTGCTGTGGATCAGCGTGATGAAAATAGCCATCCCCCCTGGCTCCAAGTCATGTCCTGCCTGAGTGAGCCCTTCCGAGCCCAGCCTACTCCCCCTTTACTCTTTTCTCCCAGCACCTTTAAGTCATATTTCCCCAAACACAGAAAGTGCCTTGGCCTTCCATTTTCTGCCGTGCATTTAAAGGAGAAGGGGAGAAACGTCTACATATTTGAAAACAGAGACAGTGCAGCTCCTTCACCTTCAGCTACGCTAATCAATGATTAAAAATCACGTATGATGAGCAGCACTGGTAGACGACTTGCTCAGAGGAGTACACCCCGTGCCAGGAATGACACGTGAAACCGTGACAAGCTCCTATGGGCTGAGATGGTTATTCAGTGCACTGCAAATACGTCTCAGCAATGCAAGGGAGAGCTTTAGCAGGGGCAACGCAAGCTAACGCAGGAAAACAGAAGATGTCTCTTGAAAACAGTGTTGTTCTTTGTGAAACTGTTTTTGACAAAACTTTTACAGGAAAGGTGTTGAGCTCAGCGAACCGGTGCCTTTATTTATTTATTTATTTATTTTTCTCAAAAGAAAAAAATTGGCAACAATTTCCCACCTATTCTACAGCAAAGGAAATATGACCTCATCTTCCCCAAGAGTAGCTCCATCAGCTTCCAGGTGATAATTCATTCACCATTGTCAGTCTCTCATCAGTTTACACTAACGGATCTGTGTGTTTGCATTGTTGATACAACACGTCTAATCACAATATCTGCTATTAATACAGATATTTTTCCTCTTAACTTTACCAGCTTAAACTCATTAAGATGATAGTCTGGTCCTAGCTTTATATGGCTGTGAGAAAGCACAGATTTAGTGGATGCAATCAATTTTTATGCCTTCTGCAGCAGGGCATCTAATGTCCGTCTCCATTTCTGCAGGCACCTCTGAGATGATGAGTTACTATATGGACACAACCATCGGCAACACAGCCCCTTATCCTTTGGCTCGCCCTGGAGTGATGGTAAGAAATGAGTCTGGGTTATTTTTCTGTCCCTAGCAGTGGGTTTCCTCTGGTTGCTGTGATTTTGCCAGCCCATTCACTGACACCGCTGAATCGTTCCAAGGTTTCACATAGCTCAGAACAGTGTCCGAACGCTGAGTGTTTACCCAGAGCTTATCTGAACCTCTCGAGCTCGCAAACCTCAACTGGAAATAGGATCGCTGCATCGGATTTCCTGCGCTTGTGTTCGCAGGAGGATTGTTAGGGTAACCATTGTCCCGGTGCCTCCGCTCCCCGTGCTGACCTTCACTGATGAATGCAGTGGGATCAGCACAAAGCAGATCAGGCTTTCAAAAAGGTTCACTTGGCTTGGCCAGAGTTTTTGGGCCACTTTGGTGCTCCCTTTTCCCAGCCAGCTCCTTTCTGTCTGTGCAGCTGATGGGTGGCTATATATCACATATATTAGAGTGTGACCCTGGGCATGCCCGTGCCAACTGCCAGCAGCCCCGGGACGGCTTTAGCGGGGCTTTGACCCTTATTCAGAGAAATCACAGTAATAGACATTTGCCCAAAGAATGCTGACCAGTGTTAAAGATCCTAGACAAGGTCAGATGAAAGCTGTGACTCTGAGCTGAGACACCAGGCTGTGCAGAAGGCTTGCTAGAAAGCAAAATTTTCACCAAATTAGGAAGAAAAGACCACTCTGGTGCATGAATTATTTCTCACACTCCTCAATGTTTTTCCTTTAAATGGTTCCAAGCATGCATTTAGCTTTTAAATATTGATTGGAAATGAAACAAAACTATTTCCCTGCAGGGAAATAATAATAAAAAATGAAAGCATCCTGAATTTATTTATATGTATGTATATGGTGTTAACCTCTTATATAGTGATATACACATATATGTACCGTATATATATTATCTAGTATATAGGTATAGACACATATGTATGTATGGTAAATAATGTATATAAGTTGTATATATACACAGACTATATATACATATTTATAAATATATATGTATAAAATAGGTATGGATAAAATACTTATATCCTGGGATTATTTCCATATACCTATATATGCTTGTATATATAATACATATATTTTCTTTATAAAGTATAAATATAGCTTTATATGCAAGAAAAACAAACATGCAGCGTATGGCAGTTATAGCCTTGGATTCCATATGTGTGGGTATATACAAGCCTATATCACACATATAATCAATACATATATAATATAGTATGTGTAAGCATATATAATATATCACACATATAATCAATACATATGTAATATATTAGGTGTAATCATATAATAATAGAGTTTATTTAGTAATACATATGTAATAATACATATGTTCATATAAATATACATGTGTGTATATCCTTCATGTGTGCATATCTATATACACATGTATGGATACACACACATCTGTGTCCACAGACACATAAATATAGCTACAAATAACATATATATATAAACAAACATAAATATAAACATAATAATAAAAAATAATATCAGTATAAACAGGAATATGAACAGAAATATGACAGCTTTCCCCAGCTCCTTCCAGTATGGGGTTGGGCTTCCCCATGGTGCCCAGGCTGCGACCTGACCAGGGCCATGGCCTCTCCAGTCCCCCACAGGCCCCCCACGTTTTTGGGGTGCGATCCGTCTTCCTGCTGCCAAAAAATAATGGTTCCAGCTGGTGGGGCTGAAACAAGCTCCCTCTCATGGAGGCTGCCCTCCCCACAGCAGCGCTGAGGAGAGCCCTCTCCTCGCTGCCATCTTGCTGAGCACAGCCTCATTACAAGCCTTCGATCTTTCTCCTCATATTTGTTCAAAAAAAAGGGCCTTTTCGGCCTCATCACGACGCCCCTCAGCGAGGCGGGTTTGGACGAGACTCTTTCTTCCGAGCAAACCCCGCGGGCCTGGGGCTTTGGGCCTGACCTGGGGGAGAAAGGCGCACGGCCAGCTGGCACAGGGCGGCCATTTTGGGGTTCCGCTCCCCCGACACTTTTCCCTCTCCTGCTCCCAGAAGCAAGGTGCCGCCGGCCCCTGCGAGGATCCCTGGGTGACCTGCGGCTTTCAGTCTGCCTGCTGCCAGCCGAGGACGTGCTGCCCGCTCTGGGATGAGCCTGCCACGCAAGAGGTGCCCACCGGCCTGGAGCACTACAGCACGGGTAGGACACCATTTTGGGGGTGGCTCTGCAAACCAGGATGGCGGCTTTCCCCCTCTGTGCCGTGGGGCTTGGCAGCGCGCTCAGGTGAAAAGACAAGACTTAAAGGCTCACCATGCTCTTGTTTGTTGCCTGGCATGTCCCCCCCTTGTCTCCTTCCTCCTATATTTGCTTTCTGCCCCAGTCCTAACTTAAATTTATTGGGGTGTTTTGCCCTTAATGTAGCCGTATGACGTGTACCACAGCATCAGAAGGTTGGTACCTGCCTTGCTGTTCGTCAAGGGTCTCCCTCAGTGGAGATGGAGCCAGAAAGCAGATAAAAACCTTAACACTGCTTTGTTTGACTACTCTGCTGTCAGAGTGATGCTGAAGGATGGGAGCTTGCTTCTTCCCCGCTGTGGCTGGAAGAACCCCTCTTCTCTTTCAGGTGGTGACTCTGATGTTCTGTGTGCACCTCCCTTGCATTCAGGGACTGCAGCCCCGGTTACTGCTCCCTGGGGTCCTGACAGACATGGGGGTCTTGACAGACATGGGGGTCTCCGGGAGGATACGCAGGCAAGCAGGACCTGCCAACCTGCCGGTTGCATCTTCAGCATTTCTCATGGCGTTTGCAGGACTGACGTCCTTGCCGGTGGCTTTGGAAAGTGGCCTCCATGGAGGGTTGAAAGGAGCCGGGGACTCCCAGCTCTTAATTCCACTGTGGCAGTAATTTTGGGTCTCTTGCTCTTGTAGCTCATTTTCCTTGCTCCTTGGGAGGGTGGTGGCATGGTCTTCAGGTAACCACAACTGGAGATGTGTGGTCACGCTGCGCTGTCAGGGCTGCACGGTTGCAACGTGCTGCACAGCTAAAGCGATTCACTGACTTGGGCTAGATGACCATCTTCTCTAATGCATGAGTAATCTGACAGTTGTTACAAAATCGCCGGTGACTAATTCTTGCCCTGTACGTTGTTCAACCCGTGAATCTTCAAGCTGAGCTTGCAGTTTGGGCTGCTTCTTGTATAACCAACTGGCAGCGCGGATGTGGGGTGGATTGGTGGTCCTCCTCCCCGTGGGGTGGGTGATGAGGCATCTGCAAAGAGCCCGGTTGTGCTGTGACAGAGGAGAGGGCTCAGGTACGCTGTGGCACAGGCCAACAGCCGCAGGAACTAAGTGAAAGAGCTCAAGTTGCATGAATGTGACCTTTGCAAAGGGCCAATATGAAGTTTATGTTTCACTTAAGTCCCACATAAGCCTATCATGAAGCACTTAAATCCCACGTAAGCTTTTGCATGGCATGTGCTGGTCTTCTGTGACTTGTTCCTGGCTCGTTAGTTATGCACATTGGCCCCTTGGGAGGGGGAAAGCCCTGATGTTTAGAGACTTTTTGCAGCTAAAGAGTTCAGCAGAACCAGTGACTGTTGCGGTCAAATGTACAGTTTGAAATCTCTCCTTGGCAAATATTCAGGCATTTCAATTTTTTTTTTTTCCCTCCTTTGGTGAGCACTTGTGTGTGAGCAGGAGATGGATGCAGAGTGCTGTGCCTATGGCTGGAGCTAAACTCTGCTGCCTATTCCCAGCCATTCTTATTTCAGCTATTTGCTCAACTCCTGTGGGTGACCTCTCTCAGCATGATGTCAACTCTGCTCTGATGAAATCTGCCCTTGCAGCATTTGGATTTACTCAAACATTTTGCAAATCTGTGCCTGGAAAGTTTTCTTTGTGTTTTTTTTTTCCCTACCCTCTCCCCTTTTCTGTGAAAGTGCTCTCTCCAGGGACCAACATATCTGCAACCCAGATCTTCATTACCCCATGCTGGGTCTGTGAAATTTCTTGTTGCAGAGACTGGAGCCTGGCTCAAACCTCAGTGAAGCCAATAAAAAAAAAAAAAAAAAAAAAGCTGTCATTGTCTTCAACAGGTTTCGATCAAACTTTTGGTACATTGGGATGGATAGGACAGTCCTCTAATTCTCTTGCAATACCTAAGAATTACTTTTCAGTTCTTCCTGTTGCAATGCAAGGTACTCTTTCTCTGATTTTTTTTTTTTTTATACTGCTGTTTCTTCAGTCTAGAGCACTTTCTAATTTTAAATGAAAGGAAACTCTCATTTGTATATACCGCTAGGAACGGTCTTTCATTTCTCCTTTGTGTTTCGGGTGTGCATTAAAACCATTTGTCATCTATTCTTCTGGTGTACTAGAGGCTATTTTGGTTTTCATGGTCTTGATGCTGGTGAAAGAAACAAGTCAACAAGGAAAATGCAAGTGTGAATATATCCTCTCGCAATAGAAACCCACAACATTTCTAAAAGTTTTAGAGCTGCTTGCGTTTAGAGAAGATATTTGCCTTTGAAGCTTGAGTGAGTTTATTTACATTGTGCTTGAAGTCTGATTAGATTATTCAGTGATATGGATAAAGGAAAGCCTGAAGTGGATTTAGCTTGTTGATAAAGACAAGAAGTGGGGGTGGTGTTTTTTTATTTTTTGTTTAAAAAGCACAAATTTGGAAATGGTATAGAGTCAGTTCTACTTGTTAGCTTGCTACCACAACCCACAGCGCATGTGTTGGGACTATTACTGCCTAGAGAATCAACCTGAACTGGGTCCACAGCAGGCAAAGGGCACATCCCAGAGGTGGTAGCAAAAAACTGACAAGAAGTGAGCTGCTGCCTGTTTATGAAAGGTAGTTCTGCTCTGTGGGCAGGTGGGAATAGGAGTGTAAAGGCTGCTGTACCTTAGCTGAACCATCTGGCAGCCAAAAATTAAGGGTGCCATGTGTTTGCCTAAAGCGGCAGGATTATTGAAAGGATGCTGAAGGCCACACTTAGCACTGTATGTTTAATTCACAAGTTAATAGTATCCCAATATTACCCTCTGGTAATATTTTTTTGGCTGATACAAGGCATAAAACTGGAGCAGAGGAAGAGATTTGATAGTGGTCCTATAATTTCAGCATGGACATAGTCCTGGCTGCGCTGCCTTTTTGAGCCAAGGCCACTTTGACAAGCCCTTCCACTCTGAACGGGTTTGTTTTCCTTAGTGATAGGGGAGATAAAACTGTTGTTAATGACAAGCGAGTGATAAAAAAGTTTCTACGACTGTTGTGCTGAATTAGCATGCTTGGACTGAAGGTGCTCCCAGCCTTTTGGACACTACAGGAGCATTTGGGAGAGTGATCTTGCTTTCACTGAGGCAAATGGGATTGGCTTTGGGAATTTGCAAGGCAAGAAATTAAATGAAAGTGTTTTCTAGAGGAAAAATTAGAGCTGCAGCTCTGACTCTGCTTCCCAGGCTAATGAAAGCAGCCCTGCAGACTTTGGTCAGGCTTCTTGCAACGAGACACTGTCACGAATAAAAACCATCACCTTAGGCTCATCCCCGACACCCAGTGGGATTCTGTCCGGTGCTATGGGAAGGCACAGCACAGAAACCAGCTTTACCCAGTCTGTGGCTGATGCTGACCGGCCACATTAGCTTGGTGCCGCTTCTCAGCCCAGAATATTTTTGAGTTGATTAGCTTTGGGGGTGGCACATCCCTCATGCAGCAAACTGGCATCTGTCTCCCTGGTGCTTGGTGGACCCCTGCAGCCTGGGCCGTAGTGGTGCTGTGCTGGGTTTGGCAAGAAAGCAAAGCCCTTGTAGCTGGAGCAATGCATTGCAGCTCGCCGCATTGCCCCATGCCAACAAAATAGGGATGCCCTCCCTTTGCCCCCCACCCTGCTAACGCTGGCTGTGATCTTCTTTCAAGCCCAGCTCCCAGCTCAGCCTGGACTGCAGGCAGGAGTCCACGGGGACCACCTGCATCCACGGTCATCTCTCCCTTCTTTTCCCCGTGTTGCCCCCTCCTTCACCGCGAGATCTACTCTTTCCCTGGTGAAGGTCCCCAGAGGAAAGCTCTTTCTGTGAGCTGTTTCTGGGCCGCCTTCCAGGCCCACGCTCAGAGGAAGGGGGCTTGGGGAGGAGGAGAGAGGGGGGAAGGTGAAAGCTGACCAGGCTCAGCCCGATGGCTTCTCCAGCTGCAGCACATTTTCTGAGTGAAGCTTTTTTTTTAAAAAAAAAAATCAAAAAAAAAAAAATCTGCATTTTTTTTCATGTCCTTTTATCCTATTTTTAACTATGGCCTCCTTCCTTTTCTCAGCCTCCTCCAACACTTCCCTCCTCCCCTGCGCTGCTGCCTCCCCCGCACGCTCTCTGCAGAGATGAATGGGCGTCTTTTCACAGGGCACGCACATCTGCTTGCGGCTGGAGACCTAGCAGCACTTCTCAGGCAGCTCTCCTGGACTGGCCAGTCTGTCCTGTCCCTCCTTAATAAGTGAGGGACAGGCAAGGGAGGACGTGGAGGAAGGTGAAGGGAAACAGAATGGGGAATAAAAAAGGGGTGAGCCACCACAGGGAGGAACGAACAAGAGCTGAGGTGATGGATGCCAATTAATTTCAAGGCTCAGCAAAAGCCATGCACAAAATCCTGCCTCTGCCCAACCTGCTGCCAGTGGTTCCCCCAGATCTGCAGCTCTCCCTGGCCATTCACTCTGGCCCAGGGGATGAATGAGCACTTTCTGCTGGGCTCTGTTGTCATCCTCAAGCCTTGGGATCTGGTGCTGTTTATAGCCTGGTTGGAATGGGCTTTTCTTTGACCTTTTTATTTTGTGGCAGGCTTTGGGCATTTCACTGGCTCCGGTTAGTCATGTCACACCTACTATACTTGGGCGCTTTGGGTTTGTTGAAGGTCATGCATAATTTTCTCCATGAAAAGCGCTTACTCCAATCTGTCGGTGGAGAGAAAAGATCCCCTTGTGAATTAATTGCAGAGCTGTGGGCTGACTGTGGTGTCTTAGACTCCCCTGGCCCTTTTGCAAGGGCCCTGTGAAGAATGCTGAGCAGTTATTGGTTTTCTCTTCAGGTCAGTGGGAGCCGGACTCAGTGTCTGATATTTGTTGTTTCACAGGTGAGGAAAACACATACAGGTGATGCTATGATACCTAGTTATGCTCCCTCTGCATTGTAACCTGCCACAGGTCAGCACT